GTGGATCATAGCACGAAATCAATACCTACATTTTTAAGTTTCACTGAGTTAACGCAGCTATGGATGACATGTAAAAGGTTAGTTTTTTTTGCCCCCCAGCGTTGTATGCAATGTAGGCAATGAACCTCACCGCGTCACTGCCGGTGACCAATCCCAAAGTTGGAAATGGTGAGACAATTGAACAACATAATTGTGTTTTTAGTAGTCACAATGTTACCCAAAAGGGATGGGATTGAATTGAAATATGTTAATTATATATAAGTACTGGAAGAATATTGTAGGACAATTTCATCTCATGAACTAAGACTGAATGCTCTCAAGACTGAATGTCATAAGGAAATAATAGACAAGACAAGGATTTTGAACTTTTCATAAGCAAATCTCAAACTAACAAATGAAAGCTGGGCAGTTAATATAAATAAATTATGAATTTTAACACTGAACCTAAATGCCAACTTTCTTTTTCATGAGTTAAAATTACAACTTCCACTGAATTAAAGTGCATAGAAACTCCTTCAGGATTTACATGATAGCCAACATAAATTGATTTAAAAACACCTTACCTGTAGATATTGTGGTGATGGTCTGGCATACACACAGCTGTTCATTATGTAGGTCCGACAGCTGATATCTTGACCTTTTGTCTTCACTGATAATTCCACAGGTCGGTAAGCACCTAACATCACATTCTCTTGACTGAATGTGTGCACACACAAGAGTGCACATGTTTTTAAGTTTCATATGAAAGCATACAAACATGTCCAGACAAAATTGAAAAACAAAGCAAATGAAATAACGTTTTACTTGTCTAGTGACTCTAGATCAGATATGCTCATCCGCCACACCACACCCCACACCTCGTCCCCTGGGCTGTCTTCTATGGTGGCCACACCACCATGCCAGCGGTCACTGGCTAGACCTTTGGAGTTGCCAAACACCAATTTATAATCCTAAAAAAGGCATGAAAGTTATTGATCAGATTTATTTCCAGCATATGTAGCTAGATGCTGATGGTACTTCTTTAGCACTATACCTTGAGCCTTGCCACGCAGTACACTGTTGCAGAGGGATTCTTGAGCTGGAGACGCTCCTTTAGAAGGTTACTACCATATGCAAAGTACAGAAATGTTTGGTTATTCTCCATGTTCTTATCAGGTGAGGACCTGTAAACAGGAGTCATCAAAAACAAAGTGAGCAATTAGCTGAGCCCCAGCTGTGTGTTTAGAGAAGCTGCTGGTAGAAATGAGAGCCTGAACAGCACAATGACATAACTGAAGCACTGGCCTTTCAGCAGCACCACACTATTCCTGTGCTAATCCTGCCCAGTGTCACTGAGCACTATTCACTCACAAGTAGTTTACCACACGGGTTCAGACAAAAGCACAGAACCACGTGCTTAACATAACATACACACATTCTCACACACAAAATCAGCATTGATACTTAAGAAATATTATTGTAAAGAAAATATGAAGAGCATAAAATGATATTTCTATTAGTGCTAATTTTACAGCTTCATTTGTTACAGTTTGCACACTGTGACAAAGATTATTTTCTTGAAACTAGAGGTATTATTTCCAAACAACACCTGAAATAGTTCAAACTACAATTTAATGATTAATAATTTAGTCATGAGGGTTCTGGTTGGCAGTGGGCTGGTAGAATTTGAGATCAAGGCACTCTGAACAGAGAGCACTGTGGAGCAGAGACAGAGTCTTGAGACCGGGCTGAGCAAATGCAGAGATTCACCATTCATGGACAACATTCGAGTATGGATGTAAAGCACATGGAGCAGCAGCAAAGTCAACATTACAAATTGCTAGTTGATTATAATGCAAGGCATTATGAGTATGTAGAGCAATTAAGACCACTTCCATCAGTGCTATTTTAGTAGAGACTAATACGAATCCATTAGAGTCAAGGAGAGTAAAAACTACAACTTATCACATAAAACTGAAAAGCAGTGAAGAAAAAAAAACCTTAAAAAACAGCAAACTAACTAAAGGATTACTGGGAGTACTCCACGTATAAAAAGAATAGGTTTGGGTGAACAGGATATGAATGGGTGAAAACATATGGGTTGGTTAACAAGACATTCTCAAATAATAATCGGTGGTAGAAGTTTGCCCCACAACCAGTGGGTTGCTGGTTTGATCCCCGCTCCATCCGCCTCTGTCGTTGTGTTCTTGGGCAAGGCGTTTCACACCTTGCCTGCCATGGTGCCTTTAGTTCAACGGTGGTGGCGAAGTATTAGCAACAAGGTAGAGCTGTGACAAATGCAAGCGTTTCCCAACCCTGGTCCTCAAGGCTCATTGCTTTGCATGTTTTAGGTACTGCATTTCCTTGCTTCAGTCCAGCTGATTTCAATCGATGACTGATTAAGAGACGTTTGCTGAACTGCAATCAATTGAATTAGGCACAATAAAGCAGGGAAACATGTAGGACAGTGTGCCTTGAGGACCAGGGTTGGCCATAGTTTTAAATCATTTTTTTATGACCTGAGACTATCTTAAAAGGGGTTAGCCAGTAAACATAGCGAGTAAGCTAGTTTTATGTAGTTAAACCAATATAGACACGTCATATCTGGACAGAATTATTATATCTATTAATCAAACATTATAGAAACCTGCTTGGGATTAGTGAAACTGTTATCCTACTCGTGAAATTGGATTTGAAAACCTTTTTTTTTTTTCCATTAGTAAAATAAGTTTATTTACTTAAAATTATTCTAAAGCAATTAAAACATGCACATTATGTGCTCTCTTTGTAGCAGCTCCCCAGCACGTGAATTAAATTTTGCGCAGTCTCGACGGGTGATTTTCATGGCTTGTTTATTTTCTTTGATGTGGATCATCAAAGAGTCACCACACCCATCTCAGTCACCATAGTCACCGTGAAAACTAAACAGATACAAATATTAGAATATAAACATAAACTTACAACACAAACAACAAATAAAACGAACCTCGCTGCTTTCACCGGGGAACGCTAAACATCAGCAGTGCCAAGCACATCCGGCAGTTTGTTGAAGTTATTCATTGATACAGTGATTTCCCAGCTTTTATAGGGCCTGCCCTAATTTGGCTACGGCAGCCCGGGAGGTACAAAAAAAAAAACCTTAAAGTGCAAATACAATTAAACAAAACAAAACATAAATCACCAACAGTGGTAATCAAAACAGACAAATATCATTAAACAACCTGCAACATCCTTTAAATAATTTACAATAAATATACAAATTTGAATAATTTAGATAACTTAATTTAAATAGTTCTCTATCCATTACACTCTTTTTAATGTATTTGTTTAATGTTATTGTGTAGAGTAGTCTCAATGATTGTAGCCCATTGGTGGTTGTCATTAGTATATCACATATGTACTGTTTTGTATTCGGTGTCTCAATAAAGATAAAAAAAACTGCAGATCATGGGGTTACATACTCATGTACAGTAGGTGGCGGTATGCACCTATGAAGTTGTTTGCCATCCGCCAAGAAGAAGGAAAGCAACAAGGAGGTAAAAAAACAATTCTTCGAGGAGACGTTGGGTTGGTTTTTAGTTTGATAAGCTCTCTTACTGATGTATTTATGATCTATAACGACAGTTAAAAGACACAGAAAAGGCTGAAGAAATGAAGGCATGATTTGTAGGTGCTGACACTTTCAGGTATGGAACCGCTGGCTGTTGAATGAGCTGACTGGTTTGTTTTGGCTAGTTAAGGTGACAACTGACATCACAAGACAAGCTGTTTAAGGTCGGTGTTTGACATCAGCAGAGGTTAAAATGAACTGGCAAGAATCTGTCCCATTTTCAAAATACCGTCTAATGAAAATAGTGTCAGATAAAAATGACCATAAAAATAAGCAAACCACTTGCAAAACGTCGTTGTTGTACCTATTAAGACGTAATGGTTGTTAAAATTACCTGAGTCCTGTACTGCTAGCGCTGAACCGAGGCAAAGTGCAACTCTTCCAGATCAGTCTGTAAGGTTACGTTTGGTTTTGGTGTCATTTTTGACGCGCTGAAGTTATTCGTAACAGTTTGAATATATTCCGCTTCATTTAATGAATTTTCACTACTTTAAAATCTGCGATCAGCCATATTTTAAATCTTCATTCTATTTTTTAAGACTTAGAAAAGTAACAATTTTAGGATCGTTTATGCCATAAACTTTATGGCATAAAACCACATTAGGAGAGATGTACTCTATAGTTTTAAATCATTTTTTATGACCTGAGACTATATTAAAAGGGGTTAGCTAGTTCTATGTAGTTAAACCAATATGGA